GAGAGAGAGGGAGGATCGCGTCGTGCAACAGCGGCTTTCAGCATCCACCTGCAAGGATGCCTCCCGAGCGTCACCCACACATCCCGTAACAGCCCACCCCCCACCCGCAGCCAGGGCCCACAGTGACCCCTCCGACCTGAGACTTCAGAAAGCGACTTGGGACATCCACACACAGCCCCAGCTCCAGCACAGCTTCCCACCCAGACCAGGACAGGACAGCGGTCCCTGCTTGGTGGCTGCGGCCCCTCCCAGCTCAGACTGGCCTTCTTGGTGTGACCTCAGGTGTGGCTATGTGCCAAGGAGGCTTTCCTTTCTCCAGTACTGGGAAGGAACCCAGGGCCTTTGCGCCATCCGCCCTTTGTTTTGAGACAGGGTCTTGCTAAGTCACTGGCGGGCTGGGCTCCATCCTATGATCCTCCTGCCTCAGCCTCCTGAGTAGCTGGGATGACAGGCATGTGGCACCAGGCTCGCCTCCGGACGTTTACAGACTGTGGTGGCCGGGTCTGGCCCTTGCCATACTTTGGGCCTTGCTTTAGAACAGTGGTCCCGACCTTTTTTGGCCCTAGAGACCAGTTTGGTGGAAGTTTTTCCAGGAATACGGGAAGGGCTCAGCTGCGTCCTGTCTTAGTAGCTGTCTGAGACACGTGGCAGTTTGGCCACGACATCAGATTCTCGTCAGGAGAACACAACCACGGTCCCAGGTCCAAGTCCTGCAGCATGGGGTGACACTGGGCACAGGACAGGACCCCTCGGGCATGTTTCCTTCTAGGCTCCCAAGGGCCGGTGGACATCTGAGTTTTCTAGCAAGGCTGAGGGTCAGGGTGACACAGCAGGGCCACACTGCAGCCGTCTCCAGGGCGGGCGGTGGGGGGCTGGAACCCTGAGCCATCACCCCTCCCCACCAAGCTCCCGCAGGGCACGCTGGGCTCTGCACACAGGGTCCAGTCCTTCTCTGTGGGGTGTCCTGGCCTCCACCCACACTGTCAGGAGCTCGCCAGTCAAGACAGCCACTCATGTCCCCCAGATATGACCCCGTGTCCTTGAGGAACAGAATCACCACTAGGAGAGACCCCTGCTCTACCCTGGACGCCATCCCTGCCCTGCCCTGAGAGCTGAGAAACCCCTGAGAAGCGGAGAGGCGTGAGCCCTGGTTTCCCAGGGACCCCATGCCAACAGGGCCACAGGCTGGGGTGGGGATGTGACAGGACCCACATCTCCCCAAGCCCGGGGCCAGCGACTGCTCTGCAGGGACCCAGCAGGCGCTTCGGTTACCCCGCTACCAGCACGCTGCAGCGTGCGCTCCAGACGGCACAGTGTAGCCATGCAGAAGGAGACCTGGGGCCACACGTCAGGAGAGCACAGGGCCCACAGCCTGTGACACCGCCCGGACGTCAGGCGTCTCACAGGCTCGCTGCAGGCTGCGCAGGACCCCACGACAGAGGCAGCCCGGGGTCGCACAGGGAGGGGCTGCGGCCTGCTGCACTCGCTCCTGTCTCTGCTCCCCAGCAACGCCATCTAGGAAGCAGAGGCGGGGCCGCTGGGGGCTGTGGCAGGGCCGCTGGGCCCTCGGCCTCCCATGGGGGCCTCAGATGCCACCCCATCCTCCAGCGTCACTGGGCCTTCCGAGGGGCCCGGGCACTTAAGGGCAGGGCCGCGACCCTGCCCTGTCCCAGACGGGGGCTAAAAGGCACCCGGCCAGACACAGGTCCCCCCGACGTCACCATCCCCCCTTTAGGGTTTGGACTGCCTCATCTGACCCCCTGACCTTAGCAGCGGTGACCCCCCCAACACACACCTGCCCAGCATAGCAGCTCCCTGACAGCCCACCCCTCTGCGGGGGTCCATCCTTCCCTGGGGCCACCAGAGCTGGGACAGAGAGCCACGCCTGCTGTGGACATAGCCCTCTGCATGCGCTGGCACCAGTGCCCACCCCGAGCCCTGAGTCTGAAAGAACAGACACCACAAAGGTGGGCAAAGCACCTGGACGCATGCTGCCAGTTCCCCTAACAGACCGGACCTGGGTAAAGGTCAGCAAACGTCCCGGTCAAGGGTCACTGGGTTGTGAAAGCCGCCAGGGGTGGAGGGGTGTGACCATGTGCCAATAAAACTTTATTGACAGCCACTGGCAAAGGGCCAGGTAGGCCTCCAGACTGTGAAAGGGGGGCAGTTTCCCAGCTCAGAGGATCCTCCAATCCTAACCCCAAACCTGACCCTATGGGACAGGGCATAAGTGGCCAGCACTCAACACCAAGGGACATGCAGTACACTCAACAAACCGCATGGGCAGGAAGAAGGGACAAGAGTCACCCTGTAGGACAACTGGGCCACCGCGGGTTTGTACCAGCCCCACTCGCGCCCATCACTGGGCACCCGACGCTGCAGGCCTTCCCCTCCCGCCAGCACACTGTGTTTCTCAACAGGGCCTAAAGGAAGCTGGGTAAGGAGCACCTGCCAGCGGGGGCTGGGCTGGGATGTAGCTAGGGGCAGGAAGCCCCGGGGCGGACTGAAGACATTGGGAAACTGACTTACGCCAGTGTCTCAAGGCCCCGCCCCGCCTCACCCCGCCCCTGCGCATAGGCAGCGTCTCAGGGAGCTGGACCTTTGCCTCCAAGTGGCAGGCCGGTGGCCCCCGTGGGTCCCTCTGTCACCACATGGGGCAAATGGCTTCTGAGTTTCCCATCAGAAACACGGAAGAAGGGGCTGGGAAGCGGGGCCGCGGGGGTGGGGAGGAACGGGGGCAGATGATACGAAGCCCAGGGAGGACCAAGAGGAAGCCCCACAAACCTACGGGCAGGCAAGGGGGCAAGAAAAGGGGACGTCAGCTGCCTGCCGGCCACACCTGGGCTCACCCCGAGCCTGGGGCGCCCTGGGGGTACAGGGCCGGTGGCTGACTGGAAGTCCCAGAGAACTGAGTCACACAGACGAGGTCAGGAGCGGGCCTTCCCCGGCACAGGCTGCCCTGGGAAGAGCCCCACAGCCCCAGAGCTCCGCCACCCTGTCTGGCGGCCGCTAGCGACGCGTTGTGAGTTGGGCCTGCTACACTCAAACAGCTCTAAACTCTCTGTCCCTCGGCTGCAGGCGGCTCTGGGGCGGCATCGGGAAAACACAGAACTCGACCGCCACAAGCGATCTCCCTCCCCGAGAAGGCGCCAAGCAGTTGGTCACCAAGCACCTGTGACATGGGCATCTTGGCCTTCCACGCCCACCCGCAGAGCCTGGGCCCTGGGTTTACATCACTCTAACCCAGGGTCCTCCTCGGAGCCGGGGGTGTTTAAGGGGCGTCCTGGGCACTGCAAGGGGCTGGGCAGCGTCTCTGGCCTCCATCCACTCCGTGCCAGGTCTCCCCCCATTGTGACAACCTTACACGTCCCCAGGCACGACCCAGTGTCACCTGAGCTGACAACCACTGCTCCATAAAGACTCAACTCTGGGCAAAATGGACCCGGGACTGTCGGGATCCATCTCCAGAGACTGCAGCTCCCCAAGAGCCTGGCCGGTGTGCGGGGGTGCGGGGGACTCAGGCTGGGCCTGCGGGTCCAACAGCTGGGAGCACGTGGCCCAGAACGGGAGCGGGGCCAGACAGGCACAGGGGGCTCCTTTACAGGGAGGTCACAGTTTGAGCTCAGGGACTCACTAGGATCAGGCCAGGAGCAAGACAAACCACAGACCACGAACTTCTGCGGTGCGAGACACAGGTAAGAAACCGAACTTAGCACGGCGCGGTCGCGGGGCCCAGGCCCTGGGCAGGGACGTGGGCAGCAGGGCAGATCCAGGCCTGGGGAGCCTGGGGCTGGGCGGAGCCAGGATGAAAGAGAACCGTGAAATCCGGGGCGGGGTGGTGACATTCCCCGTGGGAGGGGTTCGCGAGGAGGCCGAGCCGGGGGTGTGAGCGCGTCAACGGCGGGATCGGAGGAGGGTCCCACGGAACCCCGGGCGCAGGCTGGGGCAGGGGGCTGGAGAGGTCGGGAGCACGGGCTGGCACGGAGGCCGCCGGAGGCAGAGGCAGCCCAGGTCCCGGGACCGGGCGCACAGGCCGCGCTGGGAGAGGTCGCGGGGGACGGGATGCGGCCGCCGCAAGCGGCGCCGGCGCGAAGGCGCGCGGCCGGCCGGGGACGCACCGTAGGGCTGGCCCTGCAGGTCGTACTGCTGCATGCGGTACACCGTGAACTCGTGCGCGGCGTCGGCGGCGGGCAGCGGAGGCGCCACGAGCAGCAACACGGCCGGCAGGAAGACGATGAATCCGAGCGGCAGGCACGACGCCTTCAGCATGTTCTCCAGCACCTCTCCCGCTTCTTCCAACATCCTGGACGGCGGCGAGGCCGCGCGGAGCGGCGGCGGGGGCGCGACGAGGACGGGACAGCGGCGGCCGCAGCCGTGGACTCACCTCGGCATGGGCAGCCGCCGGGGTCCTGCGGGCGCCGCGCCGGGCACTCCGTGCGAGCCTCGGGGTCCTGCGGGCATCGCTGCGGACAGCCCTGGGGGAAGGCGTAGTCCCTGGGGCGCGCGCGGAGAGACCTGGGAGTTGTAGGCTCACTCTAGGACCTCCCGAAGGAACTTATGGGGGAGACTGACTAACACTACTAAAAACCTCCAAGTTGGAAAATACAGAGGCTTGAAAAAACTATTTTTCAGTAAACTTGATTTAACTGTCACTGGCATGGAATGGGGGTGGGCAGCTATGACCTTGCAACCCGGAAGGAAGTACGGCATGAGGGAAAAAGGAAGCGTTTGTCTGGCACGCTCGGTCTTCTGGGAAGTGTGGTCCTAGCAAAAAGAGCGCAAAGGTTCACGGGAACTGCAGTCTTTCCATAATCTTTTAGGGAAAAAATTAAAATTCCCAAAGAGTATAGATGTTAAACTCCCTGCAGACTCAGATCTTAATCTGATTTGTATATTGATGTATCAACAGACCCCTGAACACAACTCTTGGCACCCCATGGGTGGGCTATATACAATTTTAGGATGAATGAATGGAAAAAAAAAAAAAAAAAATCATGATAGCCCATTGCTAAAGGAATGGTGCAATGAGTTATGGGATTTGTAGTCTGGAGCCGGGAGCAGGTGCAGGGGCTGGTGGCGTATGTACTGTACTTATCTTCATTTATATTGAGGGCATACAGACATTGACGAATCGATCACTGTGTACGGGAAGTTCAAATTTACTTTTCAGTGGTCCGGTAGCAGTATTTTCTTAATCTGGCAACCATAAGAACCCTGCGAGGGCCAAGGATATAGCTCAGTGGCACAAGCACCTTCCTGGAAAGCATGCAAGGTCCTGAGTTCAATTCCCGGTATCAAAAAAAAAAAAAAAAAGAACTCTGCGAATTAGATTCAGAGAATTAATGGAGCAGCAATAACTCCCCCACCCTGAGCAGATGGGAAGATGGAGACCAAGGGAACAGAAATCAACAGCCAGGCCCTCGGCCAACTGGCTGCCTTTGGTTCTCTGTGAGAGTAGCATCTATGATCTGTAAAAGCACAGGTTCAAATCCCAGATCCTCGGGCAGGGGATGTAGCTCAGCTGCATAAGCGCTTGTCTGGCAAGCCTGAGGTTATGAATTCGATTCCCAGTACCAAAAGAAAAAAGAAAAAAAAAAATCCCAGATCCTCCCCTTCCCAGCTGGGTGTCCTTGAACAAGTGGCTTCACCCCTCTGAGCTACTGTTTCTTCACCTGTCAAATATGGCAGTAACTCTGGAAGCCTGCGGCAGGAAGATGAAAAGTTTGACCCCACCCTGGGCAACTTAGCAAGACCCTGTCTCAAAATAAAAAATAAAAATGACTGGAGGTGTAGCTAACTGATAGAGTGCTTACCAAGTGTGTTCCAAGAACCAGTACTGGAAAAAAGTTTTCAGTAAGAAAATCAATGCAAACTGGCCTAAACAGTGAGGCACCCGGAAGTGCTCAGTAAGTGTTGGTTTTATGCAAATGTACCAAGCGCTGGCAGGACTCGGGGCACATATATTTGCTGCTGCTCTTAGAACCTGTTTCTGGCCCCTCTGCACATGGCTTGGCTCCATGTTCTCTTTCAAGGCCCAATATTTCCTAAACCATGAAAGGATGTGGACATTTCTTAGTGAAAGGTTTGCTGTTCCTCACCCCCTCCCAAATTGAGTGTGACCCTTTGTTTTTTTTCTCTCTCTCTCTCTCTTGTGATACATCCTGAGCACATTTTTTATTTTTTATTTTGAGATACGGTCTGGCTAAGGCACTAAATTGCCCAGGTTGGGCTCAAACTTGAGATCCTCCTGCCTCAGCCTCTCCAAGTGCTGAGATGGCAGATGTGTGGTACCACACCTGGCTCAGTGTGGTTTTTAAGAAGTGTAGGGACAGACTCTGTGCTGTTTATGGCTGTTAGCCCTGTGCCCAGAGCACAGCCTGAAGGTCAATGGAAAGAAGGAAGAAGGAAAGGAAGGAGGAAAGGTAGGAAGGTAGGAAGGAAGGGAGGGAGGGACTGTTATGATTGGTACATTGTGTCAACTTGGGAACTTTAGAAGGTTAAATGAGCGACTGCGCAGGGGGCAGGGTCCTTACTTTGTGTCCATCCTGAGCCGGTGCAGGAGGCGGGCGTGGCGCTGATGTGAGTGCCAGGGCAGCCTGCTTACAGTGTAAGGGAGGAAAAGAGGTTTGTTGCACCTCCCTTTCGCTCTTGTTGCTTTGCTGTCTTTCGACGCTGTGAACTGTTGCCCTCTGCCATGTGCCACTCTGCCTCGGAGCCAGCCGAGTATGGATTGGAACCTCCATAAGCTGTGAGCTAAATAAACCTTTCCTTCCTTCATTTTGGGCGTTGGGTATTTTATCTCAGCAACGAGAGAAAAGTAGCCAAGACAGGGAGGAAGAAAGAATGAACCCACCCCAGCCGACCAGCCAGCCCCTCCCTGCTCTGACCTTCTCTGGTCCCAAGTCCAAGCGGGTGACAGAAGGACCGACGCGGGGTGGCGGGGTGAGACTGAGCGCCCACTCGGCGCATGCGCTCTCAGGGAGAGAAAGTGTATTTCCACATCCTTCCCGCTGCCGCCCGCCCGTTCCCGCTAGGGCTGTGAACGCGCCTGACCTAGGGCCGGGGTGCGGCTCAGCGCTGAGCGCTTGTCTGGCGCAACCGCCGCTGGAGTTCCTTCCCCAGCCTCCCCAAGGCAGAGCGCAGCGCGCTCACCCAGACGCAGTTCCAGAAAAGGGTCTCTTGGTTCAGGGAGTGAGACTCCTGTGGCTGCTGCCGCCGACGCTGCCTCCTCTCCCAAATCTTTTTTTTTATTTTAAATTTTGGTCAGTAAAATGGGGAGATGCAGTGGGGCGTGGTGGCCCACGCCTGTGAACCCAGCACTGTGGGAGGCTGAGGCAGAACACCAAGTTCGAGCCCAGCCTGGACAACTCGGCAACTTAGCGAGACCCTGTCCTGAAATAAAACGTAAAAACGGCTGGGCACAGAGCTCAGTGAGAAGGCCTTGGGTCCAATGAATGAGTGAACAAATAAATAGTTCATCTCTGGAGGAAAAGCTTGAGTCACCTCCAAAGAGCATAGAGATAGGCAGAGAGCTCTTGGCTGCCCCAGATTCCTCTCACCCTAAATTCCACCAGGACCCGCCCCTGCCAGCTGCCGTCCCAGATAAACACAAAGGACAGGAATCAGGAAAACACAAGAAAAGAAACAGAGCTAGGGATTGTGGTGCACGCCTGCCATTCGAGCATTCTGGGAGGCTGAGGCAGGAGGATGGCAAGTTTCAGCCCAGCCTGGGCAACTTAACTCATTGAGACCCTTTCTCAAAATTGGAAAAAAAAATTTTAAAGCGCTGATGACGTAGCTCAGTGTGAAGCCCTGTGTTCCATCCTTACTGCCAAATATATATATGAATTTGGACATAGATGTAAGAACGGGGAGGACACAAGATTGGCGAGGTCCCTGAGATGGGACAGAGTCTCCCTCATGGCCTCAGGAGGAGCTGGCCCTGCCCACACCTCGGCCTGGAGTTCTGGCCTCCAGAACCAGGCAAGCGAGTGTTTCTATTGTAGCCGCCCATCCTGTGGGACTTTATTTTAGGAGCCCTAGGGTACAATACACTGAGAAGCTGAATTTTCTTTCTTTCTTTTTCTTTTTGTCTTTTCTTTCTTTCTTTCTTTCTTTCTTTCTTTCTTTCTTTCTTTCTGTTTTTTTGAGACAGGGTCTCACTATGCAGTTCAGGCTGGCCTTGAGCTCACTTTGTAACCCAGCTGGTCTCGAACTCTCAACAGTCTTCCTGCCTCAGCCTCCAGAGTGCTGGGATTACAGGCGCGCACCACCACACCTGGCTCAGAAGCTGAATTTTCGAATGTCATTCATTTTAATCAATTTCACATAGCCATGCGGCTGGTGGCTATGGGCGTGACAGTGCGGGAAACAGTCCTCCCCCCCACACACACACACACACAGCAGAGAAATAGCAGCTCAGAGCAGCACTGTCTCCCCCAGGCAGCAGGCGGGTGCCCCCAACCCCTCACCCAAGCGCCTGCCCCGCTGGGGTCAAAGAGATCCTCAGAGCTAGGCTGGCACAGGCTTTGTGTCAGCCCCAAGCAACATTTGAGGGCATTAGCAACACCCGCTGTAACCCTGGGAGGTCTCAGGCCTGTGGGGCCATTGAACGTGAGCTAATCCGTATTGAATGCGATCTATCGGGAAAGTTCCGGTTTTCATCTGTACTACATCTCACGGGGGGTGTCTAAGGTACCAGGCAGGGAGGGGGCAGAATGGCCGCCAGCCCCCGCAAGCTGAAAGGGGATGACACCCTCTAGCTATGGTGGTGTTGTGGTCAGGGCTTACAAGGGGAACAATTATATACAGGACACAAAATTTATAAGATTATTTTATAACTGTCACCCAAAGAGTCATACACAAAGACAGTGTAGGAAATCTGTCCATACACTAAAGACCAAAGAATCCAGCAGAAGGCCTGGATCCCATGACAATGCCCCCATGAGTCCAGCTAGAGGACCGGAGCACATGACAATGCCTCACGAAGGTCTGTTTCACGGACCTATGCTGGGAAGGCCCAAAGGTCTGTGGTGGAAGCTAGAAAGTCCCTGCCAGCAGGCTGAGGGATCTGCGCTGGAGCCAGGAAGCAACGCTCAAAGTAAGAACCAGAGCTC